GTGAAGCAAAAGAACTGATATTTATTGAGGGCCTGTATTCCAGGTGGTATATAAATAGCTTTATATGTGCTAATCTCATTCAGTCCTTATTGTAACCCTTACAAAAAATTAGTGGCTATCCTTTATAGATAAGGAAATTGAGGCTAGGAGGGTTCAAGTCCAAGTCAGATTGCTAGTAAAGGGGAGATCCAAGCCTGGTGTGGTGGGGCATGCCTCTAATCCCAGTGACTTAAACGGCTGAGGCAGCAGGATCGAAAGTTTGAGGCTAGCCTCAGCAACTTAGGCCCTTAGCAATTTAGCAAGATCCTATCTCAACATAAAAACTAAAGATCTGGGGATATGGTTCAGTGGTTAAGTGCCCCTGGGTTCAATCCCTGGTACCAAAAACAAAAGGGAAGGGATTCAAATATAGGTCTGACTTTTACAACTGTTGCCAATCATTTATAGCATTGTTCTTTGAGGCTCTCAAAAGTTTACACCACAGGGACTGCTATGCTCTTCATGTACAAATACTTAAGGCCAGCAGGTAATAAAAAATGTGCAGATGGAGAGCAGTTACAAATAATATTTGCTAGCATGCAAAAATAAGAACAGAAAATGGGCCATGAGGAGGATTCCTTATAGCCAGGCAGAAATGTCTGTTGGAATATGTAGGAGAGGATCACAGCATTGCAGAACTTGAGTAAATGTGAGCCTAAGGGAAGATTGGTAGCAGTGATTTTATCTGAAGTGAGTCATCTGACGGCTCTAATCAGAATCACCCCCTTTATTATAGCTGAGGTCATCCGTGTGCTTTCTCTGATGTGCCTGTTTCAAGAAGAAATTGATTCCAGACAAGTGAAACATACCTGAAGATTCTGACTTGGACATTATAAATGACCTGACAAGAGAGTGAGCTGCATGCAGATTTTACAACTCAGTGGTGGTGGTAATGTTAGAAGTATTTAACAATCTCTATACTGTAACAAGCAGCACTTTCCAGATGTCCACCAACGACATTGAGAGGGGGAGGAAATTGAAAACATGCCTCCAGGAATCCCAAGCTATCACATGATGGGATAAAGGAGTCTTTTTTAAGTCTCCTGTTTTATATTTCGGGAAAACATTTGTTCATTTCCTTATCTATTTGTTTTAGTTGAAAGATAAATTATTTTACTTGTTTATCTCCTTACTCCCACCCTAAGCCTTCAAGGACAGTTGACAGTCTGGGGAAAGGTGCTTGTTTTGCTGTGATTTAGCAGGCTCCCACCCACCTCCTTGCCTGGAGCAGGTGCCCCAGTGTGGGGAGCTCTGTCTTGTAGGGTTTGTGCTGCCTCACTAGCATCTGCTGAGGCTTTGCAGATAACAGAGGGGTGACCTCCTTCCGCCTCCTGTGACTGCCTCGATTTTCTTGTTCCTTCTGTCCTCTTAGGTATGAATTCCCTATTTATCAAACTACCCATGGTTTGTTTCTTTCACTTGACTGGCATAACTTTTTAAGGGCCTGGTCTCTTGATATGTCCTAGCAGTTTTATTTTTGGAATTTCTTTTTTTGTCTTACTAGGGGAATATCACCAAATATTTCTGATTCTAGCAAAAACATTTTTTCTCTCAAGATACTGCTTAATATTTAAGGCACAGTAATTTTATATATGGCAGGCTTTGTTTGGGTTTTGTTTCTTGTTGTCCTCTTCTGGGGGCTGGAGTGGAGGTTTTGGTGATAGCAGTGGTAATTGTTATTTCTGTCTCTTGGATGGACAAAAACAAGCTCAGACCAGCATGTAAGAAAACTAACTTAGGGTCACGAATGAGTTCCAGGTTGTATTATATTATATTTTCTATTCAATCCCAGGTGATTTCAAATTTTTGTTGTAGTCTTGACAAGAGTTCAGTGCTTTTGAGTAATTGAATAGCAGTAAAGGTTTTTTTTTGTGGAGTATTTTTATACCTAAATCTTTTATGAAAAGGGTTGTTGCTGATTTACTGATATTAAAGACTTGGTTCATGGTAAGACCTAGAAGTCCTTTGTTTGGGGCATCATTTGTGTCCAACTTGATTTCTTTTCCTATAACCCACTGTTGACCTTTAACTGGTCTAATTTTGCTTGATCCTGTTTTCTCACTATCCCACTTGCAAAAACATTTTTTTTTCCCCTGTTGATATCCTATTTTTTGAATGCCATTCACTACCAGATAGCTTTTAACATAGGCCTGGCAGGTTTTGAAGTCTTTTTCTTAACTAACATGTCAATATGTCTCCACAACGATCTTGAAGATTGGCAACAATCTTGTGAGCCTGTTTTGTAAATGAAGAAACAAGAAACAGGTGAATATCACTTGCAGCTTAGTGGCAACCCCAGGAATTGACCAGACATCTGGGCTTCCAGTCCACTGAACCCTTTGCTTCAGTACCCATGTAGTGTCTAGAAATGTTTTCTGGAAGTTTTCCAATTTTTCCCAAAGTGGGAAAAATTATGTAGGTTGAGTTGTCTACAGAAAAGATAAAATATCTTAAGATTTTTTTTAAAAGATCTTAAATTCAAACAGTGGGTTTTAAAGATTTCTAAATTAAACTAGTACCTGTTTTAGACAGCTTTAAGGATATATGTTTTCTGAGAATACAGCAGATTGAATCATAGAAGAGATAATAAGTGGGTAAGTTTTCATTTTCCTACTTGTTTCTAGGGATAATGTTTTATTCCTCTTGGAATATTGTGAGAAGGTCATGGCTAGAAGGATCACATCTGGTTCCTAGGAGGAATTCCCGTGTCCAGAAGGATTCTCAAAAGTAATAGTGGATTGGGGGTGTATCTCAGTGGTACAGTGTATGTGGGTTTAGTATGCTTGAGGCCCTGGGTTCCATCCTCAGCACCAGAAAAAGAAAGGAAGGACAGAAGAAAAGGAAGGGAAGGAAAGAGAAGCAAACTGTCAGAGAAGTAAAACTGTCAAACATAAAAATGCCAAACTTCATTACTTTTGCCTGGAATTTAATGAACCTAAATAGAAGCTCTATTGGCAGAGAATAGGCATGATCAGCTAATCTGTTTTGAAGATTGCCATTTGTAGACAAGAAGTCCATGAGGCCACGAAACAGCCAAGAGGAGTGGTGTGGAAGGATTCTTAATTTGGTCTGAGAACTGTGCTGCAGTGGTATGGAATGCCCACGAGGTGGCACCAAGAATTTGCTGAACTGATGGATCCCCAGTAGTGGCCAGAACTTCTGAAGCCCATTTCAGCTTCTCCCTCCTTGCAAACAGTGTGGCTCAGCTGTAGCTGTGCCCTCAGTTCTGGTCCCCAGCTTCTCCTGAGCCCCCTCAGAGTATTGGCAACTAGCCACATTCTGTTGCAGGGAAAGCTGCAAATATTGTGCCCTCCCCCCTCCCCCCACCTAGTCCAGATGGAAGCCTGCTGCTTTTTTTTTTTTTTTTTTTTTTTTTTGTACTGGGGATTGAACCCAGAGGCACTTTACCACTGAGCCATATACCCAGCCCTTTTAGGGCCTCACTGAGTTGCCAAGGCTGGCCTCAAATTTATAATCTTCCTGCTTCAGCCTCCCAAATCCCTGGGATTATAGGCATATGTCACCATGCCTGGCAATGGTAGACAATTCTTAAGAACAGGCCAGCTGCATTGACTTGAATCATTTCTTTTTGTATCTCCAGCAGTTTCAGGCTCAGGGCTTCTGAGTGACAATGTTGAATTAGCATGTGTTGGTAATCTGTGGGCTGGTTTTGAACCTCTGTGGTTTATTTTCAGAATATTTTTTGCTTTGATATGTGCTTATGTTCCCAGCTACATGAGTTTACTTTTTGGAGTAAAGGTTTTTGTGCCTATAGATTGTGTAGTTTCATAAACCTCAGTCTACATTGAAGCTTGACTAACCACTTTCAGGAAGTTCAGACAGTTGCTTTTAGAAGTCATTCCTGTGGATGGGTGTTCCCCTCAACCCTTCCATTGGTCATGGCTTTGGGACCTCCACATGTGACAGCAGATGGTCCTGGAGTTCCCAGGCTGTGTGTCTTGTAGGTAGGAGTTTGGGAAAATCAGTAAACAATCCTCCTTTGTAGTTCTCATCTCTCTGCAGTATTTGAGCTCCCAACAGGGAATCCTATAGCCAGCAGAGATATCTGATCAGGAAAGAAAACCTACTCTTACCAAGGAAGGACCTGGGAGGGGCGGAAATGCCATGAACATATTTTAGTTGGATTATGTCATGTTATTGGGGACCATTAAGTAAATGGATGGTTCAATTTTTCTTTTTTAGACAACAGATAAGGCTTTTAAGCCTATTGGAAGGAAATTTGAAAAGGTTTCATGATAATGTTATTTCATTAATACGGCCAACCTCCACAGATAGCTAGTTGTTTTCTCCTCCTGATCCTGGCTCTTGCTTTTTCACTGCGTGAATACCTTTCCCAAGGGTTTTGTTTAACAGCGTATTGAGAAGTTCCATGTTTGATGGTCCAAGATGTGCAGAAGTCAGAGAAAAAGCATTTACATTTACTTAATTAGAAAAATGAGCCACAGTCTAGGTGATACTAGAAATACTGAAGATGATGTGCCTGGCTGTTTCTTTGAAGATGGTTTATTTAGTTTCCTGATGAGTTTAAGAAACCAAGGCCACATTTTTATTTCTAGTGCTGGGAGTACCCAGTCTAACAGTTTTGACTTTTGAATGTTTAGAGCAACAGAAGTTCTATGGGATGAAGAGAAAATGAGGACTTTTCTTGTCCATTAAAAACTCAGACCTCACTCATGGCATGTCTTTTGTCTTTTGTCCCACATTCAGAGAAGACAGTGACCCCTGCTGTTTGAGTTTGCATTATTTTAAAGAATGTGATCAGAATTGATCTGTTACATATTCCTCTTTTCTGTGATGGATCTCTTGCCACTTATTATGTCTGCCTTGAATATGAATTCATTGGGATGGGGTGATTAGATTGGCTTATAAGGCCAATTGAGAAAAAATTTGTGAACTGTTAGTATAAATCAGCATCATTAATATGGTCACTTTATTTTTAGGTGATTGGTGAGGACAATGTGGCAGTCCCCTCACACCTTTATAAGGTGATATTGGCTCGAAGAAGCCCAGAGTCTACTGAACCGCTGGCACTGGGGGCCTTTGTGGTGCCCAATGAAGCCATTGGTTTCCAACCCCAGTTAACTGAATTCCAAGTGAGCCTCCAGGACCTAGAGAAGTTGTCGGGACTGGTGTTTTTCCCTCGTTTGGATAGAAGCAGTGATATCAGGAATATCTGTTCTGTGGACACCTGTAAGCTTCTGGATTTCCAAGAGTTCACTCTGTACCTGAGCACAAGAAAGATTGAAGGAGCCCGTTCAGTACTCAGACTGGAAAAGGTCATGGAAAACTTGAAGAATGCAGGAATTGAACCAGATGATTACTTCATGAGTCGCTATGAGAAGAAGCTAAAAGAACTCAAAGCGAAGGAGCAGTCAGGAACCCAGACGGGAAAGCCATCCTAGTTTTTAATCTCATAAGACGTGCTAATCAGCTGAAATGAGGCAGGCATGCATTCTTCAGGCTGATGTATTTCGTGGCTTTGCTTTAAAGAAATGATGGAATCCTAAATTTACAACTGAAAATTCCTTTGAAGGATGAAAAATCTACAATTTTTTTTTGTCATTGTCTTTTTGACTTGTGAACTAATTACTAAGAGCATTGTCATATCTCCAGATCAAGAACTGGTCTTGTGTCATGTTATTAGGACTGTGTCCACTAGTTAACACTGCATTCATGTCTCTGGAAGAACAGTGTGTGAAGGAAGGCATTGTTTATTTTTTGTATCCAAATCATACATTGTCTTTGATATATCTGCTTTGCTATCTTGGAACTCGGTATTGTATGTTGTCTTTCCCAAGGATCTGAGTTGGTCTTAAAGAAGGCTTTTAGAAACCCTCTATTATCCTGTCCAAATATATAATTTTATTGTTTCTTTTCTTATGCCCCATATTTCTCCACCTCTGTCTTCTTTGTGCTAAGCTCAGTGTTTTACTTATATTGTGTCACAGTGATCCTCTGGGGTAAACCCCACTACCCTCATTTTATGTCTGGGGAAATTGAGGCTTACAGAGCTTCATATCTTACCCTGTTTTCACCTTTCCAGAGATATCACCCCACAGAGCTAAGTGAAGACTGGTGGATTTAGGTCTTCCTAACATGAAGATTTTTTGACTAAAAAAATGCATTGCCCACTCCCATGGATATTTGTCCTAAAGCCTGCTTGGTAAGAAGGGTCTAGTTTTCGTATGCTACATGAGCCAAAGGGACTTTAATATCCTCTAATGTGAATAGTCCTTAGCTCTTTGGAACAGAAAAAGTAGGTATTTGAAAGCTCTTACTTGCTCCAGACATGCCATTCTTTTCTCCTAGTGCTCAGGTGGAGCTAGGTCCATGTGTTCCTTGCTTCCCAGGTGAGCTTTTGTTCTCAAGACTAAGGGACCTAACAAGAGTGTGTGCTGAGTCACCAGTGCAGGACTGGCTGCCTCTGCACCTGCTTGTCTAGACCTGAGCGGCACAGGGCAGGTGGAGCTTGGGGCCAAAGCTCCAAAGACAGTTACCCCTGGAGGGAAGGGTGGCTGTTACTCTGAGTCAGATCTCTAGATTTGGGTTTACCCAGCATCCTTTTATGGGCTATCATAAGTTATAGACAGTAACATATCTTGAGGGAACAAGAACTTATCTGTCATACTGCTGATGCCTTTCCAAGTAGTATTAGAACAATATTTTGGTGTTTTGTGTTTGTCTCTAATAGAAATGCCAAGGCTTTAAGATAAAGATAAGAAGATAATGAGCGGCCTTGTTCTGTTCCTTTATTTGAGTAAAAAGGAAAAGTTGGGGGGTAGAACACAGTAGCCTGATTGATTCCATTTTGTTTTATCACACTGTTCCCCATTAGCTTGTGCCAGTCCTTTTCTTAGGGATATATAGCCAAAATGTCACTGTGACCAAAAAATTCTGCTACTTTCTTTCCTCAGTGAAGAGGTGATGGTGGGGCCTGGATGTTTCTCCAGGAGCCCAAGGGGCAGTTCTGTGGGATAAGTCCTGGCTACCTGTTGTGATTCTTTGCAGTTGAGCCCGACTCCCTTTCCCCATCACTGTGCCTTGCTCTGTGCTGCCCTGACCTTCAGCAGCCTTGGAGTTACCTCCTGTGCTCCTCTTGGGATAGTGAACAAGGCTGATATTTTAGCTCAATAAACTAATGTCTTAGGTTTTTATTTCCTATGAAAAATGCTACTTGATCATTGTGAAAAATGAAGCTAAGGTCTCTGCCTCCTGTCCCCTTTACCCTCAGAGACCCTGGTCAGAGGGGAAGGCTGCTGTGGAGGAACTGTGAGGCTGGGCAGGCCCTTCTGCAGGAAGTTCCCTCTGTGGGTGAGGGGATTCATTCCCTATCTTTCTCCATCACCAGTGACACCTTCACACTCTTTGGTCTCTGGATGAATGCTGTTTGACCTAAGGTAGATCTTATACAACAAGCTGCAAAGGTTAGGAGAGCAGGTATGTCTGCCTCTTGAATACCTGTTAACATTTCTGCACCTGCACCTTAAAACAACTGAAAACTTGTGTTCCTCCTTTAGGCCTTTGATTAGAGCCCAGCAGGAAAGACAGTCTGATCTGGAGGGAATGGCTTCCTGCAGAGCTGGGCTCAGCTTGCAGTCCTACACTTCGAATGATCCTGAGCATTGCCATGTGTGTCACCTGTGTCCCCTAGCTCTATCTTTGTGCATATGTGTCACTGACATCAACTCCATGAAACAGACTTCCTGTTAGCAGCCCATCCATGAATCTCTCTGTGCCTGGAGCCTACTGTTCTGTTCCCTGCTCACTCTTAGACCTTCACAAGGTGTGCCCTTCCTACTCTGGGTCCTTCTGGTCCACCTCTACCGTTCTCCCTCATTCTGGTTCCTTCTGGTGGAGCTGAAAGGGGCTGGCCTCACATTGGGTACTCCTGCCAGCCTTCATGCCCTGCCTCTCCATCTGGACTGCTTTTCTTGATGTCATCATTGGAGATTTGTCTACATCACCCCCATCTTCAGGAATCAATGCTTAGGTTATTAGAGAGGGTCAGTCAAGCAGAAGGAATTGCATTTTGAAGTGAACCCCCAGGTAGTTACAGGATGTAGGGTTGTGGTGGTGAATTGAGTTCTCTTGGGAAGCCCTGAACATAACACTGTGTCCTAGGGACTGGTTTGCCCCTTAGTGCCCAGAGTACCTCTAGGGGTCACTGTGGCCTAATGGCATACTGCAAGACAGTTTTGGCTGTGGCTCAGCTCCAATATAGAACCTGTAGCTCTACAAGCCCCAAAGTACACGGCCAGCTTCAGACGCCAACCTGTAGGCTCTCAGACCAGATGGAAGACGGGTTATCTCCTCCAGTGACTTTTTGTTTGACTTACACCAAAATAGCTAGGAATAGTTTAATTTTCCCCAACTTTATTTATTTTTATTTATTTATTTTAGTTGTAGTTGGGCAGGATACCTTTATTTCACTTATTTATTTTATGAGGTGCTGAGGATCGAACCCAGGGTCTCACACGTTCAAAGCGAGCGCTCTAGCGCTGAGCCACAACCCCAGCCCCCCCAACTTTATTTTGAGAAATTTCAAGCATATAGAAAAATTGGAAGAAAAGTACAGCAATTGTTCCTTCCCCTAATATTTTGTTTCATTTATTTCCTCTTTTTTTTCTTGAACCATTTCAAAGTAATTTGTGTTTTTTTTTTAAGTAATTTGTAGACCTAACAGTTCATTTTTTTCCCCCCTTGAGGATTGAACTCGGGCGCGTGATCACTGAGCCACATCCCCAGCCCTATTTTATATTTTATTTAGAGACAGGGTTTCACTGAGTTGCTTATTGCCTCACTTTTGCTGAGGCTGGCTTTGAACTCGCCATCCTCCTGTCTCAGCCTCCCAAGCCGCTGGGATTATAGGCATGCGCCACTGTGCCTGGCTTAACACTTCACTTTTTAATACTTCACCTTATATTAACCTAAGAACAAGGATATTCCCCTATTTTCCTAAAGTATATTATCAAATCTAGGAAAATTACCAAGGATTCAATATCATCTAATAAATAGTTGCCATTAAAATTTGCTATTGGGCTCCAAAATATCTTTTCGATTCTTTAAAATGTAGGTTTTGATCAAAGTTTCTATTGTCATGACTCATCTCTTAATCTAGAACCATCTACCTGGTTGGTGTCAAAAGAATACAGATTGTCCAAGCATGCTTTTGAGATGTTGATTGATAAGATCTGATGTGAGGCTAGAATTTATTTTTTAAACAAGTGACACTGGTGATTCAGATGGTCACCTGGGGTTTGGAGTCAGCCTGTTCACTACTCTGCCCCCACCTGCATTCCCTACTAGGAGCCCTGTCAGACAAGTGGTCTTTGGGCTCCTGAATCTCTGAGGGAGAACTTTTTCATCCCTTTGGGCCCAAGCTGCCATATTTTCTCTGTAGTAGAGCATAAAATTGAGCCAAAACTTAACTCCTGCTCATCAATGGCAGGCCTAAACTGCCTGACAGAGTGGCTGGCACCTGCCTTCACCTGATAGTTCTTTAGAGACAGGAAGCTCATGAAGCTGTCAGGGCATCTCTTCATGCTCAAGTGCTCATGGATTTTATGTCCCCTCATGATGCAGCCGTTGCATCTGGGCAAAACATTCAGGATGGGAGATAGCAATTGGGTCAGGATTGAGTTCTCTTCTTAGGGACACTCTGCTCTCCTCACTATACCATTGGTTCATGTGGGATTCACTCCAGCTAACTGCTCAAGGTCGTTTTCACAGCATCTACTATCAAATCAATTCCCCATTATGCACTTACATAGTCAGGTTTTGGAACCCAAATGTGGGATGTTATGTATGACCAACTGTTGAGATGTCCTCTTATTGCATTTTCTACCCATCTTCGAGTAAGTTCACATTCTTGATGATCCTGATTTGGCCATCTGACATATTAGCTGTGCCTCTCAGCTTTGAGATTGCAGATTGTATAAACAGGCTTCCAGTGTGTTTGTTGAAAACATTGAACGAGACAGAACCCAAGAAGATCCCTTTGGTAAAACATTCATCTTACATGGCAGTCCACATCCCACACCCAGGAAGCTTCATGTGATGATGTGCTCTGATCATTTCTGCCAAATTAATTTGTTTCTTTAAAAACACTATCTTGACTACAGAGTATAGAAATGGGTCTTCATGACAATTTGCCCGTGAGTCACTCTAGGACAGGGAGAGTGCCTGCTATGTCTCTAGGTCCACATGGCATGACTGGGCCAATGCTTTAGACACATGCAGCAGGTAAGGAGGCACACTTGGATTGGGTGCCTGTCTCATCATCCTCTTCAGTGGGGCAGCCTTGAGCAGTGACTTCCTCCTCCTCCATCAGGTTTCTCATTTAGGAACAGGTTTAGATGACCTGAGGGATCAGTTAGGGATTGAATAGATAACATATGTAGTTTATTGAGCTCTTAATAAGTGGTAGCCAGTTACTAAACATTCTTGAGGTTGATTATCAGGTGGTTGATGAAGGTTATGTTGTCCTTAGAGGCTGAAGGACAGGGCCTGACCTCAGTATGGTGTTAAGCTGTGGACCAGTTGGAAGCAGTTCTGTCTTTTCCCAAATCTGAAGACTTTGATATGCTGCTACCACCTCATTAACCATATCAGCCATTTATAGTTTGTAAAGCACTTTCCCAGTAACATTCTACCTCTTGGATAGGTGCTGTTCATTCTACTTCACAAGCGAGGAAATGAAAACTCAAGGAATTTATCAGGGTTTTCAAGCAAAAATCTTAATGTTTACCCTCTACCCCTGAAGGACACTCGTTATTTCAGTTCGCTTTATGATTCAGTCATTTATGCAGTTACTCAGTCCTGCAGTGTGCTTCTCGGGGGCCCCATAGGGTTCTGCAAATAGTAGGTGATCAAATGTCTTAGAGTTACCCAACAAGTCAGAAAAGTGGAGTGTATCCTGTCCTAACTATTCATTTTCCCTATGGGGGGACCAGAGATGGTGAGGTCCAGGGCCTGGCTCTGTGGTTGAGGGCAGATCTGTGAGTGCAGCAGAACAGCAGGTCTGTGTCTTGGATTGATAACACCAGGTACTGAGCTTTGCTGACAGCATACCTGGGTTTCCAGGGGACTTTGCCCTGTGTCTCCCACATTAGCTCTGCGGTCTGTGCAGTCTAGTCTGGTCTGAGGCAGCCTACCCTATGGGAGGATGCGAGTGAGAAGGTGACAGTGTGCTGAGCAGGGGTTTCTGTATGCTTGAGCCTGGGGGAAGCAGAGCTAAAATTAGATCTTCCAACTGTGTGCAGGTGTGAAACCCCACCCTCTCCCTCACCCCCAGCCATGATTTCAGAATGTATGTCCTCTCTCTCTTCTGGCCCAAGTTACTCCACAGGCACAAGATGAAAGGTCTGTTTCTGGTAATGTCAGGGATCCCTTCTACCCAAATGTCCTCTAAGGCTATGGGGGTGGGAATAGTGGCAGGCAGTATCCTTGAGTTTGCTGAGCCTTGCCATACTTCTGAGGCCTGAGTACAGCTGTCTTCTTGTTAGACCACCAGGAAGGCTAAGCAGTGCATTGCAGGGCTGAGCATATACACAAATGACCTAATTATAAAGTCAATTGAAATAACAGAACACCCTTCAGGGGTAGAGGGTAAACATTAGATTGGGCACTTGATGTCACCACCCATGAAAGGTCGCTGACTTCTGCTGGTCTCCCAATTGATGTGCTCTGTGCCCCCACTCACCTTACTTCAGAGAGAGCCTTGGATTCCTTTGCCGGCCATTGTGATTCAGACACAGGTGGAGAAGGCCTGGTCTGGAGCAGAGATGGAAGAGCCCTGGCCTGGGGGATCTTACTCAGGTGAGTGGAGCCCAGGACAACATGACCTGATTGCGCCTTTTCTCCCTACGTGAGGCTAAAACTTAAATAGACTATCACTGCTCAGGGATAAATGTACCTGCCATCCTTCTTCACTATGCCCTTTGGGACTCTGCTCTTGTCCCCAGGCTCGGATCCTTGCATGTTCTTCTGGTCTGGGGTCAGAGCCTATCTTCTGGCTCTGGCTCTTAAGGGTACTTGTGACATGATTTTAGGTAAGCAGCATCTCCTTAGTCCTCAGTTCCCTACCTGTAAAGAGAAGTGTTGGG